CGAGGGTGGCGCGGCCGCGCGGGGACCGAGCCTTCCGTATTTATGTGTCTGCCCGCGCCGCCTGCCCCCTCCGAAGACCGCAGGCACAGGCTCCGAGCTGCCGTCCCCGCGCGGGGCGCGCAAGGGCTGGATGTCAGTACGACGTGATTCTGCATTAAACTCCCGACTTTTCTTTTTTGGACCCAAGGAGTATCGGTGATTTTTGTCCACTTCTACGGGGAGAGGAGGGCCCAGGGCTCTCGAAATACAGCAGAATCCTTATTGATGACCAGTCCGCGGTGGTGACATGCGACTCCTGTCTGCTCTGTGAGTTTTCTATCCTATGGATATCCGTCTTGAGATTTGAGACTGGAGAATTGAGCTGTCTGCACGGGATTGGGCAGCCCTCACCCTTTCAATGCCCTGTGATCTCTGGGACTGCTGGCCTTCCCTGGAGCTCAGAGTGGTCCTGTGTGCCATGGGATGTATCCAGAGCATCGGAGGCAAAGCCAGAGTCTTCCGGGAAGGGATCACGGTGATTGACGTGAAAGCCTCCATCGACCCCATCCCCACCAGCATCGATGAGTCCTCCAACGTGGTGCTCCGCTACCGGACGCCCCACTTCCGGGCCTCGGCCCAGGTGGTCATGCCGCCCATTCCCAAGAAGGAGACCTGGATCGTCGGCTGGATTCAGGCATGCAGCCACATGGAGTTCTACAACCAGTATGGCGAGCAGGGCATGTGAGTAACCGCTCAGGAACAAGCTGGCGACTGCTGGGGGGGCTGAGCCTGGAGGCCTTTGGGGGGCGGTCGGAGAAGGTGCAGGAACCCCAGAGAGGGCCTCACCAGGGCCAGAGGGAAGCCTCTGAGTCCTCTGTGCCAGGTGACTCCCTGGAGGGTTTGCCTGCCGATGTGGATTGGAGTCATGGCTTTAGGACCTGCCCTGCCACTCTCCCTAACCCCTGGAGTTCCTGTGTCCTTTCCTGCAAGACGCTGAGAAAACGAAGGAGCATTCCTCCCTGTGCCTCTTGGCCAAGCAAGTGTGCCGAGCGCCTGAAGTGTGTCAGGGCCATCAGGGGTCACCAGAGAGGCTGCGACTCTGTCTCCCCCCACCCCCAGTCTCAGGGGTAGGACACGTGGCAGGCACTCAGGCCGTCTGTGCCCAGGACTTTTTTGTAGAAGGCTTTGTGGTCGGGCCGGTTGTCCCTCTGGTGTTTTCGGACCTGGGGGAAATGCCTCGCTGTTCTAATGGCTTGTGTTTGAGAGCACAGTTAGTTTTAGAAACCCGGCTGGCTTCTCAGCAATGGGGCGTTCTGTCTCCGAGGCAGAAGGCTGCTTTATGCAGTCATCAAACGTCCATGTCTACTGTCCGTCTAGTGGGGCCCCAGCTAGGGTCAGCTAAGAGGGGCCCCCTGGCCCTTTCTTTGCAGCCTGGTCTTTGAAATGTTCCTTGGTTCTTGTGGGTCATCCTCAGTGAGGACACTGAGACCCTGGGTCATCTTTTCTGGCATGTTCCCTGAACCCAGGGAAGGCCATCCCAGGTGCGGAAAAGAAGTGTGTTTAGACAGAGGGAAAAGTGACTTAATTCAAGTACCACCCCAAAACAGGGTCTGTGAAAATAACAGTTTCTGACCCGAGGTCCCTTCTGATAGAGCTAGGCAGGCCCCAAAGGGCAGCCCACCAATGTGGCCGCCGTGGGCACTCCTTCCTGTGGCTTCGCTCTCCGCATCCACCTTCCGAGTTTCACCAGCGGCGAAGAGCGAGGAGAATTTCCCCAGGATTGGGAACTGGTCACTGGCTTAAGAACATTGTGGACCACCTTTAAATGGCTACCAAGGCTTGTGGTTTCTCCACTCAATGACTCTGAAGTTCTAAGGCAAACAGGATGATTGCGGTAAAACTTGAGCCCAGGGGGTGACCACTCCAGAGAAGCACTTGGGGACACATCAGCGGCCCCCACCACAGCCTGACTTCTTCTCCCCGAGCCCTCTGTGCTCAAGAGTGGCTCGAATCCAGCCCAGGCAGGGGCTGAGTGTCCATTCCAGGAAGGGAAACGTGATTCTTAGTTATTCAGTGAGGACCTTTTCTAAGAAGCCCTAAGCCCCCAGGAACCCCGCCTGGGGCTTTGTGAGGCATCCGGGCAGCTGCCAAGAGGCGAAGGTTGTCCTAGGGGTCTGGGGCTAAGCCTGGTTTCTTCCCTGGAAGGGCTGGGGAAGCCAGAGGGCTCTTCTGAACTTGGCAAGACACGGGCACGAGGAGGGACTGGATTCTGGTGAGATCAGCTCGGAGTCTCAGCTTCCCCATCTGTGCCAAGGCTTTCCAGATGTCTGCAGGCGCCATCGCTGGAGCCGGGCCTGCGGGGCGGACTTGAGGCAACCTTGCCCTTCTGTGCCAGTCCATGGTCGCTGGTTAGAACAGCCAGCCTTGTGCACCCTGACTGCGGTCGGGCAGACCTGGGCGGGAGGCCAGGTTCTGCTGCTTTCCAGGGTGTGACCCTGGGCAGGTCCCTGGGCCTCTTCGAGTCTCAGTTTACTCATCTGCAAACTGGCACTAGTAACAGTCCCCTCCCCATGGCTTATGGTGAGATTCAGTCAGGATAGCACCTGCCAGTCAGCTCCTGGTACAAACTTAGTGCCAGCAGGGATCGGAATCCGGGCTGTCCCTGGGTCATAATAACTTTGCTGTTATTGACCGTGAGTCCATCAGACGGGAGTGGCTGAAACCACAGAATCAGGACAAATGTTCCACTACTTTTTGTAGTGAATTTTGTCCCCGGCCCAAGGTCTTTCTCTTTCGTATGGGGCCATTTTCTGACTGTTGACAGGGTTAAAACTGAGTTGATGTTTTTTTCCATTTTTATTTTAAATTCAGGGAGCACACATGCATGTCCGTTACATGGACTCATTGTGTCGTGGAGATTGGGTCTCAGGTGACCCATTTCCCGGATGGTGAATATTGTGTCCCATAGGTGATTTCTAAATCCTAATCTCCCTTCTCGCCTCCACCCTTAGTGGTGTCCTTAGTGTCTGTTATTTCCATTTTTGTGTCCCACATATAAGTGAAAATAGCATTATGTTTTGAGCAGTTAGGGTTTTTTGTTTTGTTTTTTGAATCAGGGTCTCACTCTGTTGCCCAGGCCGGAGTGCAGTGGCACGATCACAGCTTGCTGCAGCCTTGTCCTTCTGAGTTCAGGTGATCCTCCTACCTCAGCCTCCTGGGTAGCTGGGACTACAGGCGCGTGCCACCACACCCGGCTAATTTTCTTTTTTCTTTTTCTTTTTTTGTGAGTTGGCGTCTCACTCTGTCGCCCAGACTGGAGTGCAGTGGCCGCTCCCGGCCACCGCAACCTCGACCTGCCGGGCTCCGGCGCTCCTTCCGCCTCATCCTTCTGAGGAGCTGGAATTACAGGCAGGCGCCACCACGCTCGGTTGATTTTTTGATTTATTGTAGAGATGAGGTCTTGCTGCCCAGGCGGGTCTCGAACCCGCGGGCTCAGGCCATCCACTCACCTCAGCCTCCCAAAGGCGCGGGATGGCAGGCTGAGCCACGGAGCCCCGCTAGTTCTTATTTTCAACCTTGATTCCAGGTAAGGAGAGAATGGAGCCCACAAGGCTGTGGCTACCCTGTGCCGTTTGCCAAGCTAAAAAGAAATGAAACTGTGTGCATATCCGTTTTTAGAAATGTGACTGTAATAGGACATGGCATTATATAAAGACAAAATTGAGATGTCAGCTTTTGGAATGATGCTAATTATTTTTATTATTACTGTTAATATAATTTTCCACTCAGAGATCAGTTTTCCTAAGTACAGGGAAAAAGTCAATAATATGTGGCCAATTGGGCTTTAAAAATCATCTTTGGTTGTCTAATCAATAAATAATTAGTCAATTAGCATACTTGTGTCCTAGCATGAATAACGTATCTTCTCCCTTCTCTCTCTCTCTCTCTCTCTCTCTCTCTCTCTCTCTCTCAAAGA